CATTCCCTTAAAAACTGCCACCATCACTCCCACCTTGAAAAAACCCTCCCTTGATGCGTCGCAGCTATCAAGCTACCGGCCCATCTCCAACCTCCCCTTCCTGTCCAAGGTCCTGGAAAGAGTTGTCGCCTCCCAGCTGCGCTCTTTCCTCTCCAACCATTCATTATTCGAACCCCTTCAGTCGGGTTTCCGTGCTGCCCATAGCACAGAAACTGCCCTGGTCAAGGTCACCAATGACATCCTGACCATCTGTGACCAGGGCTCCCTCTGCCTCCTCGACCTATCGGCAGCATTCGATACGGTCGACCATGCTATCCTCCTCCACCGCTTGTCCTCCCACCTAAACCTTCAAGGCCCTGTCCTTGAGTGGTTTAGGTCGTACCTCTCCCACCGTCTTCACTTTGTCTCCACAAATGTTTTTTCCTCCACCCCCCGCACTGTCTTGTGCAGTGTCCCTCAGGGCTCTGTCCTCGGTCCCCTCCTCTTCACCCTCTATATGCTCCCCCTTGGTGACATCATCCGCAGACATGGGGTTAACTTCCACATGTATGCGGATGACACCCAACTCTACCTTTCCTCCTCTACCCTCAACTCCACGACCACCGATGTCCTGACAGCTGCCTGTCCGACATCGAGTCCTGGACGAGAGATAACTTTCTTCAGCTCAACGTGCGCAAAACTGAGGCCCTCCTGATTGGCTCACGTCAGCGCCTCCGCACCTCAGGCGCTGACACCATCAGCATCCAAGGCTGCACTCTCCACCTCTCAAAGCCAGTCAGGAACCTCGGTGTTCTGTTCGACCCTGAGCTGTCCTTTCTCCCTCATATCCGCGCCACAACTGGCACCGCCTTCCATCACCTCCGGAAGTTCGCCAGACTACGGCACTACCTCACCCCTCACGCTGCTGAAACTCTGGTCCACGCCTTTGTCACCTCAAGGCTGGACTATGGGAACTCTCTCCTCGCCGGCCTTCCCGCCACCTCCCTCCACAAGCTGCAGGTCATTCAGAACTCTGCAGCTCGTGTACTGTCCCGCACCAGGCTTCGCGACCACATCACTCCCACCCTCGCTCGCCTCCACTGGCTCCCCATCCCCCAGAGGATCGATTTCAAGATCCTCATCCTCACCTACAAGGCCATTCACGGAGTTTTAGGAGAGGTGTGGGGGGGGGAAGACAGCTACAATTGAACTGACGGATCCTCCGATCTAGGGTTCCACTGCTCATAATACTCCTTGCATTTCATATAGCGCCTTATCATGTCTTCGAGACATCTTAAAATGCTTCACAGAATATACTGTAAAGTGAATTGACTGTATATTTTGTGGGTGAAACGCAGCAGCAACAACAACAACAACAACAAGATTTCATTTATAGAGCGCCTTTCACGTCGGGAGGACGTCCCAAAGGCGCTGGACAGTTGGGTCAGGACCCGAGCAGGGGGGAAATGGTCAGGGTGAGAGGAGGGAAGGGAGGGAGTGAGGAGGGGGAAATGGACAGGGTGAGGGGAGGGAGGGAGCGAGAAGGGGTAGAGAGTCGAGAGGGGAGCTGAAGGCACTGTCAAAGAGAAAGGTCTTGAGACCGGCCTTGAAGGAGGAAAGGGAGGAGGCAAGGCGAAGGCACTGGGGGATAGAGTTCCAAGCCTCGGGGCTGAAAGACTGAAGGCCCGGCCACCGATCGTAGGGCGGTTAGGGCGGGGGATGTGGAGCAGACCGGAGCCAGAGGAACGGAGGGTACAGGCAGGTAAGTAGGGAATAGTAGGTCGGAGAGGTAGGAGGGAGCAAGGCCGTGAATGGCCTTGTAGGTGAGGATGAGGATCTTGAAATCAATCCTCTGGGGGATGGGGAGCCAGTGGAGGCGAGCGAGGGTGGGAGTGATGTGGTTGCGAAGCCTGGTGCGGGACAGTACACGAGCTGCAGAGTTCTGAATGACCTGCAGCTTGTGGAGGGAGGTGCTGGGAAGGCGGCGAGGAGAGAGTTCCCATAGTCCAGCCTTGAGGTGATAAAGGCGGGGACCAGAGTTTCAGCAGCGTGAGGGGTGAGGTAGTGCCATAGTCTGGCGATATTCCGGAGGTGATGGAAGGCGGTGCCAGTTGTGGCGCGGATATGAGGGGGAAAGGACAGCTCAGGGTCGAACAGAACACCGAGGTTCCTGACTGCTTTGAGAGGTGGAGAGTGCAGCCTTGGATGCTGATGCTGTCAGCGCCTGAGGTGCGGAGGCGCTGACGTGAGCCAATCAGGAGGGCCTCAATTTTACGCACGTTGAGCTGAAGAAAGTTGTCTCTCGTCCAGGACTCAATGTCAGACAGGCAGACTGTCAGGACATCGGTCGTCGTGGAGTTGAGGGTAGAGGAGGAAGCAGCCAATTGCGCACAGCAGTGACCCACAAACAGTTGTGGATTGAGTGACCAAATTATTATTATTTTATTTATTTATTTGAGGGATTATTACTCCCGGAAAAGTGATCTGCGAATGGACTAAAAACCGGGTTCCTACTTACTGCTAAGTTATCAGAGGCGTGTGGAGTACGGAAATTTGCACAAAGTTTTGCATTGCCCGGGAATCAAACCCAGGTCTCTCACTTGCGAGGCAAGTGCTCTAATCACTGAGCTACAGGACTCCACGCTCATGTTAAAGTGTGCATGTGAGATGTTCCCCCACCAAAAATAATTCTGAATCAGATTCAATTAAGTTTTTCTGCTTCCAGCCTTGCCCAACATGAATATGTGCAGCACAGATTGGCAGAAACCTTTCAAAGGTACCACTTGGCTCAGTCAATAGAACTCTCACCTCTGACTCAGAAGGTTGTGGGCTCAAGCTGATGCTTAGACTTTGAGCACAACAGTGGGAGGGCTGGAGGAGGTGTCATCCTTTGAATGAGACTTTAAAATAAAGGTCTTCTCTGTATAAGTAGTTGTTAAAGATCCCATTACACTTTTCAAAAAGAGTTTCTCTCCTGGCCAGCAAACCTCCAGAAAAATTGGTCATTCACTTCTTGGCTGGGCTATTGCTGTCCTTAAATTTTCAGCGCTTTGGGAGGTCCTCCCGACGTGAAAGGCACTTTATAAATGTAATTTTGTTGTTGTTGTTGTAAATTGGCTGGCATATGTGCCTATAAATATGCATTAATTATATTTGAAAGCAATTCCGTGTGAACAGCTTTGAAACATTTTGAGATTATAAGTGTTGTATCAAATGCAAAGATTATTATCATTATTAATTCAAGTTGTTGCGAGGTTAATGGATAACTATACTCCCAACCACAATAGCCAATGTTGTTTTACAGAGCTCTCTGATCCGTAAAGGTACCGGATGTTAATGCTGGAGAATGGACAACGTTCCATTCCAGATGCCCATTATTAATACTGGGCAAGTGCAATAGTTAGAGAAAGAGACTATCTACTTATCACTCTCCTGACCTAACTATAGAAACGTGTTCCAATTCCAGCAGTTTGACACCTTCCATTTCCCATCACCCACCATCCTTTGCCCCCTCCCTCCCCCCACCCCAGGTGAGATTGTCAAATTGAGGACCCATTTTTATTGTGAGCTCAGATCCATTGGCACCTCATTGAGACTCCTCTCCCAACCCTAAATTGATTTCAGATAGGATCATTTCAGACACAAACAGAGTGGAACTAAATGGATAAATAGAAATGCAAATCCAGCAACAATTGTCATTGATCATGGGCAAAGTATGACCATTTTTTCTTTGGAAATGACGGATTTCTGCTTTTCCCCCATCCTCATCACCAACCACATCAAGGGCCCTAAGGACAAATATAATGCTTCTCCATCACTCCTGAGATCAGCTATCATCAGTACAGACCAGTGATCAAACTCACTCTGTCCTGCTCAGCCATTCACAGAATAAGCTATTGGGGAGAAGTGCGGCTTTCTCTTCTGGAATTCTGGAACACAAAGCCTGTGTTTTTAACCAACAAATACTTAATAGGGGAGGGGAGTGTGGCAAGGGACACGTTGGAGCAGAAGCCCTCAAATGCTTAGTCTGTTTTCATTTATTGCTGTTTATTGTTCTTGTGTTGTCAAGTTCTCACTGTGGAGTCATCAGAGGAAAGACAGCAGTACAAAGTTTTCTGTTGATCCCAGATGCTTGGTGGGTTGACGTGGAAGAAAATCAATACAATAATATTCACAGTAGGATGCATTGCATGGCCTAAAGTGACTGGGCAGCATTGCTCTCAACCACAATCTAGTATGTTGGACCACCTGTCCATAAAGAGCACTAACTCATCCCAAAGGATGAGTAATTTGAAGATCCATTCCAATGTTGCTCAAATGTGTGATGTTCACCCCATTTTCCATCCTTCTTTAGAAAATACTTGATTGTATGTGATGCAATAGCTAGCACATAAGGCGCACACTGTTTTCCAGACACTGGCAATAACAACTCGTGTCCATACAGTGCCTTTCAAAACAGGAATACCTCAAAGCAGTTTACAGAATAGTTAGAAATGAAGTGAAATTCAAATGAATTAAAATCTCATCTAATTATTGTTTATGGGATATTGCTGGGACAGTTTAGCTGCCATATTGCCTGTATTGCAACCTTCACTTAATTTCTGATCAGTTTTGATGTGTAAGGTGCTCTGAGATGTTTATTGTATGTGAAAGGTGCTCTACAAAAGCAACTTATTAATTATAATCAAAGGCAAAATACTGGAGATGCTGGAAAGTTGAAATAAAAACAGAAGTTGCTGGGAACACACAGCAAGTCAAACAGCATCTATGGGCAGAAGAAAGTGAGTTATTGTTTCAGGTTGATGACCTTTCGGCGTGAGTTAACTCACTTTTAAGTGAGTGAGTTAAGTGAGTTAACTCACTTTTCTCTCTCCATAGATGCTCCCTGACCCTAGCGACTGTTCCCAGCGACTTCTATGTTTATTATTAATTATAATAATGGTCATCAAATTATATCAACACAATTCAATTTCGATCGCTTGTTGTTAAACAACTTCCCTGCTAGACTTCAAGACACTTACAACGAGCTCCGTAAACCTGGCATTGAGTTCTTCTGTGGGCGGCATTGGCAGTGAGAACTCCAGGAGCTGCAGGGGGACACTTCTGTCCTTGAAGGTGATTTCTGGGTGCTCGCTGCTCCTCAGGCAGCACAAAAACCCCAGCACATGCCGGTTCCTCTTCCGTGGCGCCATGGTCACCTTGTGCTTTTGCTATCTACAGTTCATGATCTGTGGAAAAGAAATGGAAACATAGTCCATCAGTGAACCTGCACAGTTTCAACTTGGAGAGCCCTCACAGAGGAAAGCCATTCAGCCATTTCATCTGCATTGGTGCTAGTGCACAGTAGGAACACAGGAACAGGTGGAGATTATTCAACCTATCCAGCTTGTTTCGCCAGTTAATTAGAAGGCAGGCCTTTTAATGCACAATGAGATAAATAAATACAGGGTGACCAAAAAGTTGTGATACCATTACAATATCTAATAAGTCTTAAAGAAATTATGATATTTTGGGTTTTTTAGATAATAGGGTAATTATCACAACTTTTTGGTCACCCTGTACTTCAGAAGTAATACCATTGCTTCTCAAATTTTTGTTACCCAGAGAGTTGTTACGGTCTGCAACGCACTCCCTGAAAGAGTGGTCGAAACAGATTCGATAACAACTTTCAAAATGGAATTGGATAGGTACTCGAAAAGAAAAAAATGTGCAGGGCTATGGGGTAAGAGCAGCTATGGGGTAAGGGCGGGGGAGTGGAACTAATTGGTAGCTCTTTCAAAGAGCCGGCACAGGAACAATGGGCCAAATGGCCTCCTTCTGTGCTATAAAATTCTATGATTCTATAATTCTATGACCTGTCCTTTTTTTAAACACCTCAATCGACTGTACCACCATTATTATTATTTATCACGATCAGTTACTATAATCACTATAATCTCTCTAGCTTTCAGGAATACGACTCAAATTTAGCCAATCTCTCATTGTGGCCCAGGAGGTTAAGAGAAGGAAAAAGAAACACTCCTAAATAACACAAAGCTTCTTCCATAAACATTATAAAAATGATTCCAATGGGAGGGAAAAATAAAAGTTGATTTAACCTGGCAAAGCTGCTTGATTGAATATATAGACCTCTGCACCCAACAAATGACCTAAACATTTTGTTGCTGGGGGATTACTTTCTTTGAATTATAAGATTTACAAAACTAGAACTGTTGGCGTGTGGGCAGTGAAAGGAGTAAATCACCAGCTGGTTAACAGCAGCAAAGTGACAGCACTGGGTCAAACTGACCCCACAAGGCACAGTCCCTCTTTTAATACTTCCTGAGCTGTCAAGTCATTTCTCGTCTGTGGGGTAGCCCCCACACCTCACTGTCAAGCCTGGCAAACCAGCCAAAAAATAAAAATAAAACAATAAATCATCTTACACACTCCGGAGCCATTATTCTGGATGAAATCTTAGAGTTGTTTGTAGTGATTCATAAAATCAATTAACAGAAGGAACCCTTTTTGAAATGCCACAACCTTTGTCCCCTACAATTCATTGCTCTGTCTCGTCATCTTTGTCTCCCAGTCGAGGCCTCAAGACTATGGAACTCATAGAATTTTAGAAATTACAGTGCAGAACTCTGTCATTCAGCAAGTTGAACCTAAACTGATCCTAACTCATCTAATGAAGCTATAATAATAACAACAATAATAATCCATGCCTTTGATATAGCACCTATTCACATCGTTGAGACGTCTCATAGAATTCAACTGGAAGTGGGCTAATTTCAGTGAGCTAAAAAGGGACCTGAGCAAGATAGATTGCAAAGAAAGATTGGCAGGTAAGACAGCAAATGAACAATGGCCTTCAAGGAGGAGATGGTTCGGGGACAGAGCAAATACATTCCCACAAAGGGGAAAGGTAAGACAGTCAAACCTCCCTGGATGTCTAAGGAAATTGGGATTAAAATCAAACAGAAAAAGGAGGCTTATGAACAAATGTCAGGTCCAAAAGAAACAAAATAATCAAATAGAATATAGGAAGTACAGAGGAGAAGTGAAAAAGGAAATAAGAGGGGCGAAGAGACTGCACGAGAAAAGATTAGTAGGAAACATAAAAGGGAATCCTAAGGTATTTTGTAAGCATATCAAGAGTAAAAGGTTAGTCAAAGATAGGGTGGGTCCAATTAGGGACCCGAGTGGAAATCTTCTTGTTGAGGCAGAGGGCATGGCTGATGTATTAAATAAGTACTTTGCAACTGTCTTCACAAAAGAAGATGATGCAACCAGTGCCACAATATTGTAGGCTTGTGAACAGAAATTGGATATGATAAAAATCAACGGAGAGGACGTACTAAAAAGGCTATCAGTGCTCAACATAGATAAGTCACCTGGTCTGGACGGAATGCATCCAAGGATACTGAGGGAAGCAAGGGTGGAAATAGCGGAGGCTCTGGTCACAATCTTTCAATCCTCTTTGGACACGCGAGTGGTGCCAGGGGACTGGAAGCTTGCAAATGTTACTCACCTGTACAAAAAGGGGCAGAAGGATAAAACTGAGAACCACAGGCCAATCAGCCTAACATCAGTAGTAGGAAAACTTCTGGAGACTATAATCCGAGACAATATAAATTCTCACTTAGAAATATATGGTTTAACAACACAGATTTGTTAAAGGCAGATCGTGTCTGACAAACCTTATAGCATTTTTTGATGAAGTGACTGAGAGGGTGGATGAAGGTACTGCAGTAGACGTAGTTTATCTAGATTTTCAAAAGGCATTTGACAAAGTGCTACATAAGAGACTTATAAACAAAATAGAAACCCATGGTATTAAAGGGACTGTGCAACATGGATCCAGAACTGGCTAGGAGACAGAAAGCAGAGAGTGGTAGGTAGTAAACAGTTGCTTTTCTGACTGGAGGGAGGTGTGTAGTGCTGTCCCTCAGGGAACCACTGCTCTTTCTGATTTATATTAATGAGCTGGACCTGGATATAGGGAGCACAATTTCCAAATTTGCAGACGATACTAAGCTAGGAAAAGTAGTTAATGATGAGGAGGATAGCACCAGACTCCAAGAGAACCTAGACAAATTGATAAAATGGGCAGAAATGTGGCAGATGAAGTTTAATGTGGAGAAATGCGTTGCATTTTGGTAGGAAGAATGAGGAGAGGCAATATAAGCTGATGGTGCAATCTTAAAGGGGGCAAATGAACAGAGAGACCTGGGGGTCCACTTAAGCAAATCTCTGAAGGTGGCAGGACAGGTAGATAAAGCTGTTAAAAAAAGCATACGTGATATTAGATTTTATAAATAGGGCATAGAATTCAAAAGTCAGGAGGTTATGTTGAATATTTATAAAATGCTGGTTAGGCCTCAGTTCTGGGCACCGCACTTTAGGAAAGATGTTAGGGCATTGGAGAGGGTGCAAAGGAGGTTTATTACCAGGATGGTACCAGCAATGAAGGACCTTAGTTATGAGGAGAGGTTAGCGAAACGAGGATTATTCTCCCTAGAGCAGAGAAGATTAAGAGGGGATTTAATAGAGGTTTTCAAGATCATGAGAGGATTTGATAGGTTGAACCGCGAAAAACTGTTTCCACTGGCATGTGGGTCAGTAAGCTGAGGACACCGATTTAAGTTAGTTGTTAAAAGAAACAGAAGGGAGGTTAGGAAAAGAAATTTCACCCAGCGAGTTGTTCAGATCTGGAATGCATTACCTGAAAGGGTAGTGGAAGCTGATTCAATAACAACTTTTAAGAGAGAGGTAGATGGGTAGAGGACAAGATTGCAGGGCTATGGAGAGAAAGCGGGCCAATGGGATTGAGTTGGATTGCTCTTTTCAGAGCCAGCGCAGACACAGTGGGCCGAATGGCCTCTTTCTGTGCTGTATAATTCTATGATTCTATGATTCTAATTATACAACACAGAACGAGGCCATTTGGCCCATCGTGTCTGTGCCGGCTCTTTCAAAAGAGCTATCCAAATCAATCCCACTCGCCCGCTCTCTCCCCATAGCCCTGCAAACTTGTCCTCCCCAAATAATTATCTACCTCTCTCTTAAAAGTTGTTTTCGAATTGGCTTCCACCACCCTTTCAGGCAATGCATTCCAGCGCTTTAAATATACTGTGAAATGAATTGACTGTATACTTTGGGGGAAATGTGGCAGAGCAAGCTGTGTCCCACAAACAGTCGTGGATTGAATGACCAAATTATTATTATTTTTGAAGGGATTATTACTCCCGAGAAAGCATTCCGCAATTCGGCTAACAAGCAGGTTCCTACTTACTGCTAAGTAATCAGAAGCGTATGGAATAAGGAAACCTAGTAGGTCCTCTCGCTTGCGACTATCAGGACTATCTACTGTAAACCTAACTTTTTCCCTGTATGTGTTTATGTTGTATGTCTTCAAAAGTTTGTGCAATTCTTAGAACTCCTTACCTCTCTCAATCTTCCCCTCTTCCTCCTATCTTCAGCTAGGTTTGGTGTCACTAATTTTTTGATTTGCCTCCTGCTCTCTCCTGAATCATGACACTTCACCTCAGTTTCACAGAATAATCTATCCAATTATTCCATGTAAAGTGGCAAGAGACCAAACAGATGTTTCTACAAGGGAAAGTTAATGACATAAACTGGTTTCTTTTTAAAATCTCCTCCCATATCCAGCACTATACCTTCAGCACATGGTTAGGCTTAAAGCTCTGAAGACATTATCTTTGTAGCCACCAGCAGTGGATAACAGAGGAAAGGTATTGGATGTTATGGGGAAAAAGAGCAGAGAATTTAGAATTTGAATTTGATACATGGTGGATTGATTCTTGGAGGAGTTAAAAAAAATGGGCCAAATGGTACCCTATTGTGTCATTCACTGTGCCTATGCTTTCGTTGTCGTTTCCGAGCGTGGAGAATGGCATTTCAGTGCCACTTCAAGAAATACCAGACAAATTCAATCTGAGTTAAGTCAATATTCTGTGAAATGCTCAGAAATCTTTGGAATTTTGTACCCAGCAATTAAGCTGGTCCCAAGAAGGGCATTACCCTCTTTGAGAAATCAGTTAGTCAGTGTTGCCTGATATTTCAAGCTGCTATTATTGTAGAGCAGCATTTCAGTGCAGTGTGTGACAGAATACTGACCTCATACACAATTCAGTTTGGCCGGTATCCCGTAAGGTGACACTGAAACGCTGGTCTCCTCAATCAGAACAATGGTAGATTCCAACACTAACAAAGAGTCATCTGT